GGGTCCCCTCGTCCCCACAGGGCTGCCCCAGGTCCCCTCCTCCCCCGCTGTCCCCGCACAGCCCCAGCTCCAAGCAGGGTGCGTGACTGTGACATCCGTGACTGTGACATCCGTGACTGTGACATCCGTGGCTGTGACATCCGTGGCTGTCCTCGCCTCGGGCACCGCCGGCTCGGCAGCCCCGGGGGCCGAGGGGCAGCGGCACGGGGGGCTCTCCCCAGACATAAACATCTCTCCAGCAGCTCACGGCCCCTGCAAGAGCCGAGCTGTGAATTTTCATCTCTCAGCTAATCAACTCGCCTGCTAGTCCAAACTTGTCAGGAGCTTTATCCCTGCCCTGCCAGCCTCCTCCCGGCCCACGAGTGACAGAAGACGTTCCCATCCCTCCCCGAGACACATCCAGCTGCTACAAAAACAAACATCCTCCCGCTGGTGATTCCTCCTCGTCAAACAGTGCTGACCCTGCTTCCCTCGGGACCGTCCGCGCCCGTGCCCGTGCCCGGCCGCCGGCACATGCCGAGTCGCCGGCGGGGAAGGGAGATGTTCCTGCCTCAGCCACGGGTTTATTAATGGCTGCTTCTGCCTATTCCTCTGTGACTAAAGATTCATCACCCGGCCGAGGCCGCTCTGCCCGTGAGGCTCCTGCAGACGAGAGGCAGCTGTGCCAGAGCCCGTGGAGCCTGTGTCCCCTTGCTGCGCACGGGAAGGACGCGGGGCTGCCCCAGCCTGGTGCCTCCAGAAGCCTCACCGTGGTCTGGGCAGGCTGCACTCCAAGGGATTGCCAGGAACTCCCCGGGAACTGCTGTGGGCTGTAGGGGAACCAGTGCGACTGGTTCTGCCCCCTACTCCCTCGTGGCCGGGCCCTATCCCTGTCCTGGTCTATTTGTCACCCTGGGACCTTGCATTAAACACCCCGAGTGCTGCTCCTGACCCAAAACGTGCCCGTGGGCAGCTGCTCCTCCTGGGCACCCCGGAGTCCCAGGGGCGTCTGTTCCTCCAGAAAACCCCAGGACCCCGCTCCTCACCCCCCAGGCACTCAGGGACGAGCAGGGGACCCAGCATGGGCAGGAAATAATGCCAGAAGGATGTACAGGCTGGAAGCCCTGTGTGTGCTGCTTTCCCTGTCTTCATCCCGAGAGATGTGATGGCCCTGAGAGGGATTTTCCCAGGTCCTTTCCCCTGCTCTGCCGTGCTGGGCTGCTCCCGGGCCGGCGCCCCGGGGTTATCAGCAGCGGTGGCCGAGGCGGAATTAGCGGGGCAGGGCATGGGGTAAGCAGAGCTCAGCTCCTTGGCATGTTTGCTTGTGCTGAACCTGCAGCATGAAAACTTTTCACAACAACACTCAGAGCCTGAAGCCTTCCTTGGCCGTGTGCACCCGGGGAAGGGGAGAGCCGGGGCCGGGCTGTGCAAACAAACCGAGTCCGCAGGCCCCGAGCTCAGGCTGAACGCACGACAGAGGAAAAGAACTTTTCCTGGTCGCAGCATCTGGGGGCAGCCACGCTTCCCGGGGGACTGCCTGCCATGGGGGTGCCCGGTGATGGGTGCCGTGCCATGGGGGTGTCCTGCAGCAGGGATGCGCTGTGGCGGATCTGCCCTCGCTGGGGGTTCCCTGCCAGGTGCGAGCCCAGCGCCGGGGCCCCGATTCCCGGCCCGGCTGACCCAGCGCGGTCCCGCACGGAGCGGCCCCGGCCCGTTCCCGTTCCCTTTCCTCTCCCGTTCCCCTTCCCTTTGTCGTTCCCCTTCCCGTTTCTCCTCCCTTTCCCTTTCCCCTTCCCATTCCCGTTCCCAAGCTCCGCTCGCCCTCCAGCGGCTCCGCTGCGCCGCGCACGGGACGAGCCTTCCCGGGCTGCAGTGAGCATCCCTGCCCCGTCCTGAACATCCCTGCCCTGTCCCGAGCATCCCTGCCCCGTCCTGAACAACCCTGCCCTGTCCCGAGCATCACTGCTCTGCCCTGATCCATCCCTGCCCTGTCCTGTGTTTCCCTTCCTCTCCTCGCCCGGCACACGCACAAGCCGACCAGGCACGGCTGCGTTTCGGGGGCTGAAGGAACCCGTCGTGCCCAAGGAGCCGCCTCGCTGTGCCGTGCACAGAAAGCTGCGAGCAGGCACAGGACAAGGTCCAGGACTGGCTCTGGCTCCAGGCTCCCCCCGGGCCGGGTAACGCCGGGCTGGGCGCTCGGAGGCAGCACGGAGGTGTTTACCCGAGGGTTTGTCAGCATTCCACGCTTGGGCAGGGACCTGCCACCGCTGCTGCTATAAAAAGCCACCAGGGCTGTGGCTGGGCCACAGCAGCTCCTGTCCGGGCAGGGCTCTCACCTCCGGCTGTCCCGGCAGGAAGCAGCACCGGTTCGGTGGCTTTCGGCTGGTACCAGCACTGGCACCACCTCGGGGATGTCATCAAGCCTGGAGAGATGAACAGAGAGCTTCTTCCCAGGCTCCTGCAAAACCTGCTCAGCTGAACGGATGTAAAGATAAGAAAATCAGGTCAATGCTGAGGTTCAGCAGGGCAGGCTCAGGAGCTCCCTGCACAGGGACAGGGAGGCACCCGGAGCAGCCCCAGCCCTCCAGGGCTGATGGTTCTGTGCATGGACAGGCTGCACCCCAACAAAGCAGCTTTTCCTGCAGCCAGGCCTGAATCCTGCCACACTCCTCGGCAGCACAGGGAATTCCCACGGGGCTGCATCCTGTGTGAGCCTTCAGCAGCGCCCTGGGAACCTCCCTCCCCAACCCCAAAGTGTCCTTCAATAGAAAGTGGCAAAGAGGAAAACTGCTTTTACTTAAAAATACCTAAAATCCAGAGCTGTCTGGAGCATCCAGAGTGTGCTGTGCCACCTGAAGCACAACTGCCCCAGGCACCTCCCAACTTCCAGCAGCTGCAGGTGGGTGGAGATGGAGCAGCAATATGCTCAGGATCCACTGCACTCCCAAGAAATTCACTTTCTTCTGACATTTCAGAGCTTCCATTAAAGCTCCAGGGTTCAGGTGGGCACAGATGCCAATTACCCCCGGCAAGATTGTTTCCAGCTGGGCAGCCCCAACCCCAAACACTTCCTTAAGCAATTTGCACATCTTAAAAATAAAATCCTTTATTGATAATATGAATGTTTAACATGTTTAATGCCATCAGCTATAAAAATGATTAAAGACTTCAGCTTGGTACATTTGGCTTTACAAATTTACAAGTGTTAATGAATTAATACTAGTGTTATGTGTTTTGCACTTCATTATACTCCATTAGCCAGTGACAAACTCTGCAACAATGTCTGCTTAGGACACATGTGAGTTAGAGAAGAAATATTTAGTTGCTTCCACACAGAATCTACATCAACAGTTAAATACTAACTCTAAATGTCTTACTGAATTAGTTGGATTCATTTTAATCCCTTGTGCTTAGTTTCTTTCAGAAGTTAGTCTACTAGCAAAAATACATTCTTCTGCATACCCCTTCCCATATTATATTTTAGAAGAAACAGTACTCAGTGCATTTCCTATTAGACTTCATCAGAGTATCTCTCTCTCTAGAGCTATTAATAAAGGGGATAATACCAGTCAGATTAATGTAAAAGCAAAGAAACTCATTAAAGCAGTGTATACAAAAGCCTCACTTTTCAATCAGAAGGGATACATGGGCCAAAATCCATCTGCCCATCCATTTTTACATTTACTCTCAGCAAGAGGAAAAAAAACCTGCTGTGGACACTTAGTTAAAAAAGTAATAAATGTGCTTGCAAAAGAGTCGCTGCCCATTTAGCTCCGCTGCCTCCGTGCCCTGCACTGTTCCACTGCACTAGGAACAGCAGCCCATAATACCACTGCCTGCAAGGTCTGTGCAAAGCTCGGAGCCCTGCCCCAAGTGCAGCCACCCCAGAGCAGCTCCGAGGACGCTCTGTGCTCTGCTGCCCCCACGCCAAGGGATCCGTGCAATGGGACAGGAAAAGGGACACGGGAGAACAGAGGTGGCCCTGGCAGGGGAGCTCTGCTGCCCAGGGAAGGGCTCAGAGCTGCACCACACCGAGCAAGTCCCGTTTCTAAATTCAGGATCAGCTCACATGCAACACCCGAGATCATTAACCCAGCACTCCCAGCCTTGCCACCGACCTGTGCTGCTTGTCCTGCATTTCTCAGCACAGTGACTCACAAAACCACTGTGCTGTGCCCCTTGCTTTCCTTGCAGCAAACATTTCTGCACAGGAATCAGCTGCTTCTCCTGGATACAAATACTTCTCCACAGACATAATCTGCCTCAAACTTGGGCAATTCCTCACTGAGGAATTTTTTAAAATCTCAAGTGGATTGCCATGTTTTCTTCATATGAGGCAGAAGATCAAGAAGAGATCAGTATTTCCCTATTACTCTGCGTGTTTAGTGTGTATGTGTGTGACATACTTACACAGATCTACATGTTCAATTCCACAGCAGCAATGATTTGGTTCCACATTTGCAGCCAAGGAAAGCCAGCCATAGCTAGTGGGTAAAATCAGCTCAGTCAGATTTAACTGACAGAGATAAGGAACAAAATTATTGCTTTTGTTTGAAGTCAAAGATCCCATGCTACAGGTGTTGAAAATACCTGTATTGTATGGATGAGTTACTTTTTCAAGTAATACTGAGACCTTTGTCAAGTAACAGAAAGATCCTTTTCTCAGAAACTCTACACACAGCAGTGGAATGCTTGAAGAGTTTGACAATCCAGGTGATCCACCAGAAACCAGAGCTTAGGCATTTAAAGCACACAGGTATCTGGGCAGGAAAGCAGAAAGAACTATATGGACAAGGAATACTGACAGAGAAGTAATCTGGATGCTATCACAACTAAATTTTACCCCAAGAAACTCAATTGTGCTTCCCCACATAGCTGGGAGCTCTGTCCTGAAGGACATAGCCTGGCTGGCTGCACTGCTCTGGTGCTCACCTTGCAGAATTTGTAGCACATCTGCTAACTTATCTTAGCAAATGGAAAGAATTAAAAGGAAAACCAGTGTTGGTTTCAACATTCAGGACTCAGAAGAATTTGTTTCTGCAGCTAGATGTTCCCCTCCTCACCTTTTCCCGAGAATCACATTCATATTGCAGGCTTAGTTCAGGCACTTTTATAAAATGTTCATCTGGAGTAAAAAGTCTGCAAAAATTATTTCTGCATAATTTAAAAGTAGCATTTCAGTCCCATTAGAGGTTGATAGGTCCCACCAAGTGATTATGGTTGTTATCTCTAATGATTTGACTGCTGCCATGAGACATTTGGAGGCTACTGTATAGCTTAGTTAAGGTTTCTTCATAAACAAAAATATTTTCCTACCTATTAAAAAGAAAAAAAAATATACTAAATGTTTTATACAGACAGAATCTGCTACTATGGAAATAAATAACATGGAGTGGAAAAACAGTGTCTTAGCTGCAGGGTAAGCTAAGCTGTGGAATGTCACATTCCCATTTTCTGGAGACTAGCTGCTGCTTGGCAGGAGGATCTCCAGGTCTTTGCCATTTGACACGACAGTGCTGTTGGAGCAGCCACTCGCCACGTCCATGGGGGCAGCCAGGGAGGAGGCCTGGGAGCTCTTGGGGAGAGCAGCAGGAGCAGCAGGTGACTGAGCCAGGCCGGGCTTCTTTGGAGGAATGGGTGGAGGGTTCCCTCTTTCTGCCCTAGGAATGGTCGGTGACTTAATTCCAGGAGACAAGGGGCTGAGAGGGCTGGAAACCTTGACAGGGCTGGGGGAGTGGCCGGGCTCGGCTCTGGGGCTGCCAGCACTGGCCAGGGTTCGGTAGTCCGTGCCAAAGGGGGAGCTGTTCGGGGACACGGGCTTGATGGGGCCCTGCTGGCTGGTGAACCTGGACAGCACCTGTGTGACCGTGTTCCGGGCCAGCTGCTTGGCAGCAGAGTTGTCTGCCAGGGTGGGGGACAGGTCCCGGGAGGGGGGGCTCTGCAGGCCACTGGCCTGGTGCTCCTGCTCTGCCTGGGACTGGAACTTGTGGCGAGCGGCGTGGAAGCGCTGGTTGATGCCCACCTGGTAGGAGGATTGGTAGCCAGGGCTGCCGGCCGGGGCTCCCACCAGGCGCTTGGTGAGCACTGGTGAGGAGCAGGGAGAAGGGGTGAGGGAGGAGGCAGCCGTGCTGCTGGGAGACAGGGACACCCCAGCAGCAGGGAGCTGGGACACCAGATGCACCGGGGACTCTGTTCTTACAGGAGAACTTCCATTCTCCACGGCATTTTCTGAGGCTGCAGCAGATTTCTCCCTGGGAGCTTGGCTCTCTGCAGCATTTGTCTCCCCAGCCATCTGCACGTCTGTGTCACAGTGCCCGTTGGATTTTGCATAGGAATGAGCAGGTGTAGAGGGGCTGGCAAACACGGTGTGAACAGCTTTGCTGCTGCTGCTGGCTCGCTCTGCCTGCAGGCTCTCGGTCTGGCAGGACACAGACTTCACTGGGGGACTGTCAGTTGTCACCCCCCTGGATGTCACCGAGGGGCTGGGCTGCACAGGCCCCGAGGGACTGTGCTCCTGGCAAGAAGCCTCCAGCTCTTTCAGGGCTTTCTTCAGACATTCCACCTCTTCTTTGAGTGCTTTTGTACGGTTTTCTTCTCTGTTCAGCTTGGCTTTCAGCTGTTCTCTTTCAATGTCAAACTCCGAGAGCTGCTTTTCTACTTGTGCCTCCATCTGCAAACCCCGCTTCCTCTTGGCTGCCAGCTCCTCTTCCAGTTTACTCACCTTACTCCTCTCCTTTTCCAATTTCAAGCTCAGCTCTGCTGTCTTCTGGCCCTCTTCAGCTGCTTTAGCAGTGGCTTTCTTGCACTCCACAACAAGCATGGAAGACAATTGCTTGTGGCGTGCCCTTTCCTCCTCCAACTGGCTCGACAGCTTCTTCTGCTCTTTTTCAAACTTCTTCACTTGGGATTTTTCAAACTCCACCTGGAAGTGAAGAACAAAAAAAAGATTTTAAGGGTACCATAAAAACCTCCTGAAAGTAAATGAGGGGCAACACCCCAAAAGGGAACAGGTTTCTTGTGTATCTTGGATAAATTACACAGTAAGAAATGACAATGGCTAAGAAAGTGGTTATTGCCCCAGAAATCTGCAAAACAGTCTGGAACAACTCAGCTTGCACACAGCACCAATTATTGCTTACTAGTAGTTTTATCCTGTATGAAATTCGATTTGCCTAGTGAGATACACAGCCAGTCTGCCATGCACTGATGGCACAAGCAAAGCTTCTTTCCACCTCATTTACTACTTTGTCAGTTTGCCTTTTAACGGCATTTAGGCTTTAAAATGCTGATGTGTTATGTATGCTTAACAAAGGCTACAGAGCTGGAGTAACAGAAAACAGTGGCTTAAATATTTATTAGCATCTCTGAACAACACCCCCAGGAGATCTTCCATGGCTTATTCTGAATTTTGAGTACTGCAGCGAGCTATCAATTGTAAGTGCAGCCCTGTTGTTCAGAACTCCTCAGATTTCATTGCCTGTGAACACCTTTTAGCACTGCTCAGCTACCAAAACACGCTGGGAAATGGAAGGCTGTTTTTCATGTCGGGATGCCAGAGGCTGGCAGTGCCTTACAGAGGGAGGCTCCTGCTCCCTCCACATCCCCTCCCAGCCCCGGGGGTGCTGTGGGTGGTACCTGCTGGGTGAGGCGCTCTCGTTCCTTCTCCAGCATGTAGGTGACATCGTCCCCCTCGGCCGTGTCCTGGGCGTGCCTCTGCCTCTCCTCCTCCAGGTCCAGGATCACCTGCCCAGAGCAGCAGCCAGGGACACATCAGTGACAGGGCCAGAGCCACCAGGGCAGCTCCACAGAGCCGGGGTCAGCTCAGCTCACAGCAAGGCAGCTCTGGGACACGTTCAGGGTGTGACATTATCACTCTGATAACACCCATCAAATTCTGTCTGTGGAATTCTTTAGGAAACCCTGACACTGGAGCTACGTTCATTTTATTATTAAATAAAATCTGAACTGCACACTTTTCCCCCAGCCTGTGCCGTATCCTTGAGAGGCTCCTGTTGTGAATGGTGCCCTCACTCCAGCACGGCTGGGGCTGGGAGGGGTCTCTGGAGATCACCCAGCCCAAGCCCCTGCCCTGGAGCACAATGCACACACCAGTCCAGGAGGGTTCTGAATACTGGCAGGGAAGGAGAATGCACAGCCCCTCCACAGCCTGCTCCAGTGTTCTGTCACCCTCAAAGCACGTCAGTTTTTCCTCATTTTCAGCTGGAAATTCCTGTATTGCAGTTTGTGCCTCTTGTCCCTTGAAGCTCAGAATTTCCTGGCAGGGCCATCAGAGGTGCTGCCTGCAGGAGACACAGGGCACCCAGAGCAGCACAGTCCCTGCTGGGCTCCAGCAGCAATTCCACACAATTCCCCCAGAGCCTTACAGGGACTCGAGGACTCCAGTGAAAAGTTTATTTTAAAGAACATTAATTTGTTCTTCCACTTAAGAACAAGATGAGCTCTTGAAGTGAAACTGCTTCCCATAAGGACCCAGTGAAGGAGCTCCTTCAGCTTTAACACTGAATTACATGAATAATTGAAATGCTATTAACTCAACAAAAAGCCAGAATACAAACTTCCCAAGAGGCTCTGCTGTATCTCATCACCAAAACTAAGCTCTCCCAACACATGCTCACCATGAATTTAGCAGCTCCTCAGTCTTCCTGGAATTTAAGCTCCCAAATACTGTTTAAATACCATCAAGTATACAGGAAGCTTTCACAGAAGTGGACAAGAAGAGGAAAAGGAAAATATCTGATTTTACTCTATGACTTAGTTGGATATTTGGCTGAAAAGTGAAGCACAGCCTTGTTCTAGTGACTTCAGTTTTTGTGGTAGTATGGTCTTCATTGGTGTCAATATACATTAAATGTATGTCTGAAGAATAATAGGTGCTTCATTAAAGAGGCCAAATGGCAAGAAAAACACTTTTGGTCACTCCACACCTCCTTAAGGGAAGCACAAGGAGGTGCCTTCCCCTGGAGCAGCTCTTCAATAACCACAGAGAACAAGTCCCGGGCAGAACAGTGACAGGTCTGCTGACAATTCCACCTTCCAGAACCCTTCTGTGCATTCTGGGAAGCCTTACACCTCCCAGCTGTAAGCTGGCTCCTTTCTGGAGTGTCCTAAAAAACATCTTGTGTATATTCCAAATTCTGGAATTAGAACTAATTAGCTCATCAGCTGCATCATGTGGAGTGAGAAGTTCAAACAAAGGTGCAAAGTCCTTTCAGTTCCCAAACCTCAGGGAACCTAAGTGTTTTTGCTGAAGTTAACATGTTATTAAAATGTAATTGAGGCAAACCCACCTTTCTGTGTCTGCTTTCTGCAGCAGCTAGTTGGGATAACATTCTTTCCTGCATATTCTTGCAGTGTTTCATCACCACTTTCAGGATAGATAAAGGATTGGAGCATACTGGCTGCTTTTCACCATGATTCCCCTCCTTCAGGGTCTCAAAATCTCTCTGCAAAGCCATCAGTGGGTCACTGATGTTGTATTTCCCATAGCGCTCCTCTATGAATGTGTCCCTGTGCTGGGCCTGCAACACAAAAACACATTTGCATTTTAATACACTGAAACCAGCTAAAGAAGACAGGCTTTGTAGTTAATATTCCTTTTCCCCAGTTTTCCATTTAAAGAGAATTTAACACAGTCTGATTCATATCCTGTTATCTGCTAGAAATAAAGGAAAAAAAGAAAAATCTTGCTTAAAAACACAGCATCTCCACAGTATTTTCAGTCTACAAACATCCTCATACCACAGCTACCTGCCAGGGCCATGACTTACATTCCACAGCTGTGTGAAAGGAAAGAAGGTTAGTACCAACTCTTGCTCAACAAAAGATTTAATCATTTATTGTCACATCAGTGAATGAAGCAGTTGTGTGGTTTCCTTGACTATGTCACCATCAAAGAATTTCATGTTGAGCAATTAAAGAGTTTCATTCTTGCAAGAGCCATAAATCTGTGAATTGTTAATAAAATCTTTAATGCTCTCATCCAGACTAAACAGAGTTTAGTTTCTCAAGAAGCAAGGCAGGAATGATGAGGTTTCCTTTGGTGCTTGTAAGAATTAGGACAGCTCACACGTACTAGGCTCTACATTTACAGCGTTTAATGGCTGGACTTGATGAGCTCAGAGGTCTCTTCCAGCCCCAGTTATTCCATGAATCAGCCATTCCAGTGGAAATCTGTTTGCTAGGATACCCATGGGCTTATCATATTCAATGATGACTGTAAAGGTCTAAAACCAAAATGAAATCTCATAAACAGACAGATATGAAAATATTATCTGCATGTTTACCACGATAAGAAACCATATAAAACCAAATATTTATGCAACAAGAGACACAGGAGGAAAACCAGACCTAGACTCAAAGGAGCCCTCAGAGGTGTCTTGGCTCAAACAAATATAATCACCGATTTCCAGTGAAATGTTCTGGGCTGAATGCTGAGCATTTGTGCAAAGCTGTGACACTGCTGTGACACTGAGAGCACGAGCCCATGCCCAGCAGAGCTGCTGCACCTGCCAAGAAACAACAGCTGAGTGTGAGACTTCAGCTTGGCTCCTCTTGATTCCCATTGTCCTGGGAGGCCTGGCTCCCATGACAGCTCACACTTTTCTTTTCTGCAGTGTAAATCACTGCTCTGTTCTGCACTGGCACATCCTCAGTGAGAGCTCACACAGATGAGGATTTCCCTCTGCACCACTGAAATGCAGGAGTGCACCCCAGGACTTTAGCAAAGTGTGCTGCATTTAGACCAGGCTTTAGCACGTGTGACCCTAAATGTGCTTTTCCTGCCAGAGCACACACATGCTGTGGTTTTTTTTCCTTGAGCAACTGCTCCAATCACAGTGTGCTGTCTGCACCTTCTCAGGTGTGCCTCACCTGCTGCTCCCGGCTGGGAGGGCACAGAGCAGACTCCCCAAGCCAAGGCAGGCACAGCAGCTCTGGCCAGCAGCCCCACACAGCCCCAGGCCTTGGATGCTGCTCTGGCCCCCAGCTGAACAAAGCTCCCTGCTCTGGGGGCAGAGCCAGCCCTGCCAGCCCCGCTGGGCCCCTCCCGAAAGCCTTCCAGGGAACGGCAATGCCAGACTGTCACCATTCCCCGGGGGACTGCACAAGGACAGCACTGAGGCAGCAAAGACTGAGCCTGACTCAGATGAAAAGACAGCTCAGAGGCCAGCACTTCTTGGAATGGCTCTTTTGGGATGTCCCAGTAGCCAAACCACCAATGCTCCCTCAAGAGCAGGAGTCACAGAATCGTGGAACATCCCCACACAGCAGGGCCAGGGCCACACTGGAACAGAGAGAGTTAAATAATAAAACTTGGCTTTACTCAAAGAGCTGATGAGATTTGCTGCTCCCACCTGCATTCTGAAACGCAGCCATGTGATTAACATGAAATAAACTAAGAAAATTGATTTTTGCTCTTAAAAGGAAAACTGTATGCGCTACCTTGACAAGAGGCATAAAAATCCCAACCCAAAATATCTTCTCCATGACCAAATTAGAGACATCTGTCCTGTGATTCCAGTTTGGAGCTGGATTTTAACCCTGCAGTAAACAAACACAGAGGAACAGCACACACAGATACTCCTCCCTCTCTATCAGCAATATCCATCAGGAACCGTGGATACCTTTGATCAGAGGTTCAGATATTGTTCTAGCTTTACACAATAATAGAAAGGAGAGGAAGGAAAAGATCAGCCCCGGATAATGGGGCAGCCCTGGTTTAATGAATCACAGGAAAAACTACAGGTTTGGTTTTTTTCGGAACAGGGAATCTTCTGTTTTTCTGAAGTATTTATAAAAATGACTCAATGAAAGCTCCATGTAAGTGTGGAGGGAATTTCTAAGTGACTCAAGCATTAATAAGTCTGTAAATGTGAACTGGGATCTCCATCCAGCTGGCCTTGCTGCTTTGACAGACGAGTTAAATCCCAGCTCATCCCAGTGCTGGCCATCCAACACAAACTTGGGAGAGACCCTTCAGGAGGGACCAGGGCTTCAACTGTGCAAACAAACCTTGCCCTCACTGCTGGGCAAGTGCTGCCAAATAAGAGCTGCACAAACGGAGGTGGAGGTGACTTTTCAATACTGAAGGTGTGACAAAAGCCATGTTTTCCTCTGCTCCTCACAGCACTGGGCTCTGAATGCTGAATTCAGTGGGGTGGTTTATTTCCTGTTTGGGAAAGAACAAGAAGTTCTTCCTTGCTACTTTGAGCAATTAAGTATTTTCCTGAACTAGCCTGACAAACAGATGAGACTATCATAACATTAAGAGCTTTCTCAAGTCCAGCTATTCTTTAGTAGCCAGCAGAACATAAACATTTAATTAAAGTTGTCTAGACTAGGAAAAGTTTTAACCAGGTCATTTACAAAAACAAACCCAGTGCTTTGGTACTGGGGCTTGCACTGTGCACCTGGAAATGCAGGCAGGGAATTTCCAGGCTGTGACACCTCTGTCCCACAGAGCAGCTCCTGGAGAAGGAAGCACAGGGCCACAACTCCAGGTTATTTCCTACAGACGTGGCAGTGCCCCAGAGTGACTCCTGCCATGGCTTGTGCCATGAGACAGCTCTGCAGCTCAACTCCTCTGTCACTGGAGGTCACATCCAAACATCTTCAACACTGCTGATTTTTCCTGTCTGAACTGGGTTCTACCTTAAATGCAGTTGTTGTTCAGCTTTCAGAACAGAAGGAACTTGATGAGGGAAGAGGAACACTCTATTGGTGAGCTCAAAGTGAAAAAAAAAAAAAAAAAAATCAACCTACATCTCAGACCCAGCAAAGAAAACACAAACCCACAGAAAATCAAGCTTAAATAAAAAGGAAATAAGGAGTGGAAAATTTCATCTGACCACCAGAGGTGACATACATACATCAGCAATGGTGCTTTGAAAGAAGATGCAATTCTGTGCAATTCCATCTTCTAATGCACTACCTCCACCTCTGTCATCTCAAACATGGAAAACTGGGAATTTCCCACCAAAATACTCAAATTCCAGAAGCAACTCAATGGATTATTCAGCAATTTTCAAGACTATTAAACTGACCTTTCCCAACAAGAAATGAAGATAATATGTAAGCTTGGGGTCCTTTTAAAAACAAGAAGGAATTATACACGTGACCTACCCTTCAAAATAAAATTCCAGAAGAGTGGAAAAATTAGGCACAAGCAGAGAGAGTTCCATGTGAAACTGGCTGGCTTTGAGCTCAAGTTTGGGTAATGGACCACTGCTAGTCTGTTTGGGAAGAGATAATTCTGATTTTATGGGGCAGAAGCAATATCTGACCCAACTGAGATGTTTCCTGTGCAGGCAGGCAAAGCAAAGGCTTTGCTTTGTTAGGAAAAAGTTACTGTTTCCTCTTGGGATTTCTAGGCTGTTTTGGGATGAATGTTTCCCATAGACTATTTCTGTATTTTTTTGAAATAAAATATTTCCTTCTCCTGAAACCTTGTTTATGTGACAGAATATTCTCTCTCTCTTCAGTAATCTTTACAACTTGTTTTACTGGAACATCAAACAGGGAATTTCCAAGACTTATTTCAAGCGTTTTTTGGACATCAAGTAGAGCATTTCTCTTCCCTGTAATTTCAGAGTTCAGGTTTTAACCTTCAGTACAAGACAAACACACTCTTAATTAACTACAGCTACTGAGTTTGCAGTTCTCCAGTAATAATTTGCACAGAAGTTCCTCCTTCATGTAGCAGAGAGTGGAATAAGCTTTAAATAGCTCCTTACTGCCTTGAACTTCCTTATTAGCTTCTCTCCCCAGAGACAGAAGTTGGGAATAAAGACAGGCTGAGGTCACAGCAAGCACCGAGGGAAGGGAAATGGGGGTGGGGACCACTTGCTTTGCCCAAAAATAAAAGCCAGGATGCTGGAGTGGGATTTCCAGGGTAGCAGCAGCTCCAGCTCTGCAGCAATGCCAGGCACAGAGGCACCCAGCAAATTGTCCAAAAGCAGCATCTGCCCTAATTGCCATCATTAGATCAAGTGAGCAGACCTGACAAACGAGAGCTGCCCCCATCTGCCCAGCCAGCCCTGGTACCAGCTCTGGGAGGCACAGCAACATTTCTCAGGAAATGTCAAGCAGCAGCACAGAACTGCAGCCTCTGTCCCCGGGCAGTGCTGGCCCCCGGCAGCCCGGCTGCTGCTCCAGGACTGTGGTCCCAAAACCAGGGAACCCAAAACCAGGGAACCCAAAACCAGGGAACCCAGCAGCAGCCAGAAACCCCCAGCATGGCAATCAGCCCCACACCTCCTGCTCCTCTCAGCACACACCTGGGCTGGGAAGGTGAGGAGAGGCAGCTTGTGAGATATGGCAAACCTTGCTGCTTCCAGCAAGAAATAAACAAAACATTCCCCAGGCTTGCAAGAAAAGCTGCAAGGAATGGCTGCATTCCAGCAGGGCAGCACCCACGGGAACACTGCTCCATGCAAGCTGCTTGCACCAGCCCAGTCTGCCCCATCTGTGAAAGACTGAACAGCACGAAGGTTTTCTATTACTGAACTTTTTATTTAAACAAGAGGTAGACTTCAGTTTTTGAAACTGCACTGTAAACCTGATTTTTAAACCCACTAACAAACAGCACCAAGGTTTGCATTAATGTTGCCTTAGAGTGAATCACTGAACTCAGAAGCAGAGATGAATACCAGCTCCCAGTCATTAACACAAAATAGTTTCTATTCCAGGGTAAATTGCCTGAGGCCTTATTAACATAAAAGAATAAGCCAGAAAGCTGTTTCCTGTTTTCTAAAAGTAAACAGAACTTCAGTTCTAATGTATGGAAAACTCTCTTTAAAGGAAGAGGGGGAGGGAACACAGTGCTCTAACACAGCAATAGAGATCCATTTAAATGTGGAATTGTTTCCAGTCGTGGTGGGCTATTGCAGAAGGCAAACCTGTGGCTCATGCAACCCTTCCTACACAGCAATAAGGACTGAGAGTCTAACTCTCAGATTATGCAACTCTCTGACAGCATCTGGGTTTTTTGGATGATATAAACACAATTATAACTACAGGAAAAGGAGCACAATAAGAAGTGGGGCTTAAAATCTGTTCCAAGGAGAACACTGAGATTTATGAAATGGACAGGAAGCTACTTTCAGGCAAACAAGAAAAACAAAAAAAATTTTTTTTTTTTCAAAGAGGTTTTAAAACAGAGGAAGCAAACTGAAGCACTGGGAAAGAATATTTTGAATACAGTCAGCTTGTCAGACAGCAAGGAGGAAAGAGTGAAGATCTGGGGAGAGGGGGTGAAGAGAGGGAGAAAAGAGAAGCGAGATCAACAAGCAGGGCCTGAGCCTGGCTCAGCTCGATTCTGACACAGAGAGAAACGGGGCCAGTGCCAGGCAACAAGTGCCTGATACCAGCAGGGAGAAGAAAACTATTTTAAGCTTTGTCATCTGCACACATGGATTCTCTCTGCTAAATGCCAGATGCAAAATGTTTGTCTCTAAGCGTGCAGGAATATCAATTATTGCAGACTGTACTAGGTCAGATGACATGTTTACAAATTAAGGAACTCTTCCTCTGCAAGTGCCTGTCCTTTCCTATAATGTACCAAAGGATTTGACACAAACATCCAGAGCTCAGAATAATTTAAATCTGAAACAGGAGTAAAATTAACCCATGAAGGGAAATGTGGCTTTGTTACTATGGGGAAACAAACAGGCAGATAAAAGTCAGATTTCCAACCACTGACATCTACGTGTTCGACAGAACTGCTGGAGAAAATCACTGCTGTGGTTTAGGATTATGCAATCCCCTAAGAAAGTTCAGAGGACTGAACTCCACCTGCTCCCAACATATACCCACATTTAACATAAAACCATGACTGCTCCAAGGAAATGCAGCTGCTGAGGCAGGACACACTGTCCCCAGGAGCCAGGGAGCAGTGAGCCCATGTCACACAGCTCCTTCCCCCAGCCCTGGGTGTCCCAACTCCTCTCCGTGAAATCACAGCTCCATTTGTCCAATGTATGCAAGTGCAAATCTTTAATTCAGTCTTAGAAGCTGTTTTTTCTTCAGGGCAGCACTTTTATGCATCAAAACGTGAGTAAACAGATTAGCAAGGTTTCCTTTAATTAGTCACACACAAAGTCTTTCAGCCAGTGAGGCATGGTAAAGCTGTTACCACAGTTACTATCAGCAAACAAGGAGAAAAACAGAGTAAGGCCAGAACTTCTCTAGCTGTACACTCCAAATAAATGGACAAAGCGAAGCTGGAAGCTCTCTGCTGCTGAAGCCTTGCCCAGCCCCCAGCTGAAGCAGTTCCCTGACTTTTCCTGCCATGGAAAGGGCAGCAGAGCTGCTGCCAGCAGGAAGGCAGCCTGGGCTGCAGCACCTCTGAGGACGAGCTTTGGGACCCAAGAGCAGCAGAGACCCAGAGCATCCCCCAGTGCTGCAGGCACAGGACACACTCCAGGGGGACAGCTCTTCCCTGAGGTCACTCTCAAAGAGCCAGACTGGCTTTGAAGCTTTCACTGCCCTTTCCCACCAGCTCCAGCTTTCCTCACAATCCCAACAGCACATCCCTGCCAGAGGAACACAGCCCTAACCTTTGATTAGCTCAGTATTTTATACTCCATAATTACCAAGCATAGGTTACAATTTCATTTAATTTCTTCTCGGTTACGAGTGCTTGACAAATCATGTCAAAGGGTATTCTTACTGTATTAATCTCCTCACACAAGAGGGAACTGCAGGTTAAATTTCAACAGGAAAGATAATTGCTTTCAATACTGGAAGGTAGGCAATAAAGAGCCTCTGGAATGGAGCTGCTACATTTCTTCCCATTGGTCTCACTGCACACATTTCACACTGAAATACTGAAGGGAGGCTTCTTTTGGTAACACATTCTGACACACACAGTGAAAAAACTCATCTCAGGACAGAGCAGAAACTTCTGTTTCAAAACAGAAAACAAACCTTCCACCAGATCGATAGTTTTGAGAGGGTAACAATATTCCTCCAAATCTAAATACAAAAGCAACTAAAAAAACATGAGCATCTCCTGTTCTGGAGAAGGATATGCCTCACTCCCCTAAAAGATGCTTGGAATCGAGCTGGAGAAGCTTTTGCTGGGAAAGCAAGCCCCTGCAGCTCTCAGGCCTGCCATTCTCTGTTGAAATAGCTGCAAGTTTATACACTATGAGCAGTGACAGGTCAGCTTGAAAAAGCCTCTAAGATTCAACTCTGCCACAACTAATTTCTTCCAAAATTGACCCCTGCCATCATTTATACCACTGCGTTTTTGACTTCACTGAGGCCGAGTGCCAACCAGGCATCCTTCAAAGAGCAGCAGAATTACACACACACAATGTCTTTTCTGGAATAATGTCCAGGCTCAGTATTAACCCAGCAGCAGGCCCTGACCCAGAGCTCACAGCACAGCAGCCACTTTTCCTGCACTGCAAGGAGAGGCTCCAGCACCACCCCTGCCTTGTCCCATCCCAGGCTCCCACAGCACCACGACCTCAGCTGCACTGACAGCGATTGAATCTGGCTTTTTGGAGCAGTTTTAGCTGGCATCTGCCTCACTGGAAGGTTACACTAATGCTCGTGCCAGCAAAGGGAAAGAACAAGAGCTGAGCACTCAGCTCCCAGCAGTGCCAGCTTATGGTGGCTTAGCCAACACAAAGCCACGGATGCTTTTGACTTAGTGTGACCTTATTGCCACTGAAAGACTAATCTGTGATCCCTCTTGGAGAGGAGAGTCTCTGCTTTAAGCAGCCCTCCTTGCTAAAGGAGGAAAGAACCTACACGGGAATTCTGGTAGACCTTTGGCAGAGCAGGAACACAGGGTTCTTTATCAGAAAGGATGAGAACACACACACAACACTGCACTTCAATACCAACACACTTCTTGTAGTCAGCTTCCAACAGTGAATTCCGAGACCAAAATTATACACAGCATTTATTATGTAATCCTGCTGGTATTAAAATGGGATTGTCTGCAGAACTCACAGCAGTACTGTTGTCATGTTTGTTTCTTATCCTGGTACTTAAAACCTACCTTTAAAGCCTCTATGACAAGATCTCTTGCTTCTAATTCTCCCTCAAGAATGCTAAACAGCGTCAGTAGTTCTGGTTTGCTGAGTTTTTCCAGATTCATCCTGAAAACCTGAAAAATAATGAAGCCTAGTTTAGTAGGTATTTCTTTGAACATTGAGATCAGTATTTGAAGCTATGATGTATAATCTCCATTTGACTTCAGATTCCAGTTTTTTGGACTGCAAATTGCCCTGAGGGGGGATAATTTTCTCCCCATCTTCCAGGACCAGCTGTAGAAGATGCATTTGTTACCTTCTCCCAAGGGACAGGAACATATGCACACCCACATGGTGCTGGTGGAATGTGCAGCCTAACAGGACTGGACAATATTCACCAAGCAGCAGCCAAAGTTAACAGGAGAAGGGAAAAACAAGGATATTTAAAAGTCATATTGATTACACATCTGCCTCACACAGCTGCAAACATCACTGAGAGCTGGGATGAATGAAGGCCAGACTGGGCCACCCACAGGAGCTCAGCAGTGCTGGGATACAATTCCTGGGAATGCCATTATCCACCCTGATGGAACAGGCCCAAACCACTCCACAACAATCAATGCCACTGAAAAGACACACTTCATTACTATTCTTTCAAATTGTTTCAATATCAGCATCATTTATTAAATACAATTTTACTGCCTACATAAGAGATCCATCAGCTGAACTGCACATAAAGCAGCTTTATATTCCCTTGCATCTTTGCTGAGGCACTCAACACTGTCCAGCAATAAGCCTTTTTATTACACAATGTAAATAAACGTGTTAAAAATGGAAATAATTTCAGACTAAAGCCTTGTCTCTGATGCAAATACACCCACTGATACAGTCTTGTGCTTTGCACAACCATCAAATACACTTTCCAGAGTCCAAGTCATGTCCATCTTTCTCCACACTTTGCGTCAAGCAGAAAATGCTACAGCACAAAGAAGCTACTCAGAGATATCCAACTCCAGTGGCAAGTGATAAAGAGTTAAATTAGCCCCTACTGGGGAAGTGTAGCCAGCTACAACACTCAGCTAAGTCTAGTCTGTCTGAAGTCACTGCTCCTTTACAACTGATTTGCATAACTGTGCCTTGGAGAGTTAAACACAAAAGCAAGTTCTGTCTTGTTTGTGCCAAGCAATTTTCCAGTCACTGGGAACAGAAAGTTCTGTAGTCCTCATGCAGCCAGAGAAATCAGAAATCTACTGTGTGCCCCTGTGCTAGGCAGGGAAGTGTGTCATCACTCACTGCCATTCCTGCCTCACACGGTGTTTCCCATGAAATTCCATAAAGCTGAACGTTTCTCACAGGCTGTCCTGGCTCACCCTCCTGCTGCCATGGCTGCTCAAGGAAACACCCGTGGAGGTGACCACGCCTGGCTGCTCCAAAGCCAAACTGAACTGGACACCACAGACCTGTCAGCACCTTAGAAAAACGGGAGGAGAGGGCAACAGAAGCAGCAAAGAAATGCTAAAGCATGAAGGAGTAGCCACACAGTGAGAAAAGACACAGCCTGGTTCTAATCTTTGGTATTTGACGTTTGTGTTGATGCTTATGTCAAAGCTGCAGCATCTCCCTGGGCAGCCTTCACACGTGGAATATCCAAACATCTGCTTAGGAAATGCACGGCTTGATTCCAAAACCATCTCAGTCCTTCCTCAGACTAAATGTACAGGTTCTAAGACTGGATCAATACCAATGGGAAACAACCTTTATTGCCAGATACTCACCAAATTACAGTAGTGTTGGGGCATTATAAACCAGAATGAAAAAGGAGAAGCTTCCTTGGAGATCTTAGAACAAGGACTATCATATATTTCTGTTACCCCAGTGTTGAACATGGACTTTCAACATGACTGCACCCATGCTTTTCCCTCAAAAAGAGATGAAGTACAAATGTGCAGCTGCATCTCCCCAAGAGCTCAGCCTCATAGCAAGGACAGCTACCAGCTGCAGTTTGGTGTTTTAAAGCTATTAGTCAGGGCAGCAATAATTTCTACTCTATGTTCTAACTACTCCCATTGTGACTGGCACTTCCCAGTGCTACAGGAATAAGCCATGCTATTCTTACCATGCCTCTGTAGTCTTTAATGAGCTTAATAACAAACAAGCCCTGTCCTAAAATATGCAGGTAAAATACTAAAGAGAAATAAAGAGCAGGAGCCAGTTTGCACAGCAATCATTTATCCAACAACAAGAGGTAACATTAAAGGTACAGAAGTGGTTACAGCCTCAGCTTCCTCTTGTGCAAGCTGTGCAAGAGAAGATCTCCACCTGCTTTGTTTGCATCAGTTACTCCACACTGCTGAGGGAACAGCCTGGGAGCAGATGCAACAAATGAAGTCACTGCTCTAAAAACCCCACCAAAAGGTACCTGTATTCTCCAGTGATCTGCAGGGAACTTTCAGAGCACCCCAGGCAGATGTCAGTCATGCTGAATGGATCACAATCCCAAGTGCCTTTAAGGGCCACTCTGCACTTGGGAGCTGAAAACTGGGGGGAGGGAAAAGCCCTATTCATTTGATGTTATTATTTTATAGGAAGAAGAAGCATCTCTGGATCAAAGAGCCAATCAGCATGTATTTGAGCTCCTTTCCCCCTATCCAAATCTAAATCGAAATCCATTCCCAGCCCTCCAGGCTCCTGAGATGACCTTTCCAAGGCTGCTTTCAAGCTACACATCCCTATGCCTTCCCTCATCCCACTTCCTATCAAAAGATCACGCCAACTCTAATAAATTATCCAGTTCTCCCCTTGCAAACAGTCCCACTCTACCAAAGGGATCTGGGCACTTCAGCTGGGGAACCTGACCCTCTATTTCCAAACCTTTAACCAAGAGACAGCTTCCCAGCATCAGAAATAAGATCCAACAATTCCCAGACCACGTTACCTCTTCACATCCAGGGAATTACACTGAGTGCACTCACACAGATCAAAACCACAAAGACCTTGTTGTTTAGTCTGATGATATAAATATTTTCCCTGAGTCTGAGATACACCACCATTTTTGGACAATAAACCAGAGTTTAGAGCATAAACAGAGATATTCACTTTGTGCTTGCCTAAAGGTGAGCGTCCCTTCAGCTGTGGCCACTGCAGTGTCCTCGACAGACCCACAGCCACCCTCCAGGGAGATAAAGCTTTTCCAAGAAAGTTATTCCCCACTATTTCACTGGAAGGAGCCATCAAGAGCAGTCTGAGTGTAGGTCCCAGCATGCAGGGAGTTATCTTTGGCATGTGCCACTTGAGGAACACAAGAGACAAGCTGGCAGCCCTGGCAGCTCCTCACGGCCGGGTGGTTGTGAACCCATGCCAGGCTGCATTTCAGGGCTCTCACACACACAGGGGCACGAAGTGACAGAGAGAGAGCTGCCAGCAGGGCACAGCCTCACACAGCAGGCACTGCCTGCATCACCCAGGGCTGCCTGCATCACCCAGGGCTGCCTGCCTGCATCACCCAGGACTGCCTGACTGCTTCACCCAGGACTGCCTGACTGCTTCACCCAGGACTGCCTGCATCACCCAGGGCTGCCTGCATCACCCAGGGCTGCCTGACTGCTTCACCCAGGGCTGCCTGACTGCTTCACCCAGGGCTGCCTGACTGCATCACCCAGGACTGCCTGACTGCNCCTGCATCACCCAGGGCTGCCTGACTGCATCACCCAGGGCTGCCTGACTGCATCACCCAGGGCTGCCTGACTGCTTCACCCAGGACTGCCTGACTGCATCACCCAGGACTGCCTGACTGCTTCACCCAGGACTGCCTGACTGCTTCACCCAGGGCTGCCTGACTGCTTCACCCAGGACTGCCTGACTGCTTCACCCAGGGCTGCCTGACTGCATCACCCAGGACTGCCTGACTGCATCACCCAGGGCTGCCTGACTGCATCACCCAGGACTGCCTGACTGCATCACCCAGGGCTGCCTGACTGCATCACCCAGGGCTGCCTGCATCACCCAGGGCTGCCTGACTGCATCACCCAGGACTGCCTGACTGCATCACCCAGGACTGCCTGACTGCATCACCCAGGACTGCCTGACTGCTTCACCCAGGGCTGCCTGACTGCTTCACCCAGGCACCGACTGCAGCAGGAACCAGAGTCCAGCAGCCCGGGCCACGGCGAGGGCCGCTTGGCAACAGGGAACTGCCAAATCCTCTGCGAGCCCTCAGCTCAAAACTCTTCTGCTTTTTAAAAAACATCATGAAGAACAAAGCTATGTTGTTCCTTCTTCCTCTGGAAAAGGGTATTTCCTAAACCTACACCAATACAACAATGCCACAGTGTCAATAATCCTGAATCAGCTTAATTGTCTTTCCTGTGTTCCTGAAGAGGAACTGATATTTTCCAGGAGCCAGCACGGGCAGCCATGCAATCGCATTCATGGGAGAACTAAATGACCAGTTTGAGAAGTCCTGATAGACAAGTTCCCAAAACTGCTTCTGCATGTATCGGGTGGTGTTTGAGTTGCTCCGATAATTACATATGTTTATGTAATGAAAAAAGCTAACATAGACTTAATAACTGTGTGTGTATCCACAATGCTACCTAGCACTGCATCAGAACTAGGTTAAAATGAGAAGTGTTTATATTTCCTTCACCTTTGTATCTCAGCCCTAAAGGAGAAAGGGCATTACCCGCAAAAAAGCCCCATCCTCACCCCATTCGTTTTTGAAGCAATACTCAGAAAGAAGCAAATTAGAAGAATTTGGAGCGTGGATTTTGTGTGGGTCCTTGCAGCAACTGGAGCTTCCTGAGAGAGAACTGAAACCATCGCGGGCTGCTCTGACCTTCACCCCCGGCCCCCCTGCCACCCGATCGCTGCTGGCCCGGCCGGGCACGGGCGAGCCCCGCGGGTCAGCCCGGGACAGCGGGGCTGCTGCAGCGCCAGCGGCACGGCCGGGGCTGCGGGGACCGGCCCCGGCACCGCCCGGCACCGGCACCGGCACCGCCCGGCACCGGCACCGGGGAAGGGCTGGCAGAGGCCGGGCTCGGCGGCTCCCGCGCTGCACCGGCCCGGTACAAGCGCGGCGAACAAAGGGGAACGCCGCAGCGGAGCCTGCGGGGAAGGCAGGCGGGAGAGCGGAGCGACACCCGGCCCGGCTCCATCGTCCCTCGGTCCGCCGGGCCCGGCTGGACCGGGCAGCGACGCCCAGATCCCGGTAACGCCCCCCAGCCTCCGCGCCCGCCGGCACCGCCCCCCGATCTCGCCGTTCCCCCCCGGTACCACCCCCGCCGCTTGCGGCCGCCCTAGTCCCGACTGCAGCCGCCCCCGCCCGCAGCGGGGCTCGGCCCCACCGCCGCCGCCGCCGCCCCTCTCAGCCCCCGCGGGCCGGGCCGCCCTGCACCTGCCTCTGCCCGCCCGCAGGGGCAGCGCCGCGCCAGGACGGGCCGGAGCCGCCGGGCGGGAGGGAGCCGAGAGTGGGACCGGGACCAGGACCCGCGCCCGCCCCACTACACCGACCTGCCCGGCCCCGCGCCGCCGCCGCCGCCGCCGCCGCCGCTCCGCTCCCCATCGGCCGTCCCGCCCCGCCCCGCCCCGCCCGCTGACCGACGGCGCGCCCACCAATCAGCGCAGCCGCCGCCGCGGGCGCGGGCCAATCCGCAGCGGGGAGGGCGGGGCGGGGGCGGGCACAGCCAATGAGGCGGCGCGGGGGGCGGGGCCGCGGCTGAAAATCCCTTTTGTTCGCGGCGGAGCGAGCGGGCGGCCGTGATTGGCGCGTCACTTCCGGCGGGGCGGGGCCGAGGCACCGCCCGCGCCACCGCCCCCGGGCCGTGGTTGTGTCCGGGAGGGTCCGGTGTTTGTGCCGGTGCTGGTGCCGGTGCTGATCCCGATCCCAGCGGCAGGGAGGGCTGTGTGAACCCCAGGCAGGGGCCAGGACCGGGGCTGTGCCTCCGCCCGGCTCGGGCCCGGTGAATGCTCGGGGTGCGCGCGGCAGAGCGGTGCCCTCAGAGCTGTTCTGAGCCCTGGCCCTTCGCGGTTCCGGGACAGTTCCTCTCCCCTGACAGCTCCAGGCCCTGCTCCCTTCATGGCACCTGAACGTGGCCTTGCTCTCGGCACTGATGGTTTGCCCGAGGGTGTTCACAATATCTCTGTTTGTGCAGCAGCTCTAACAGCGCTGCTCTGTGGCGTGACACACCTGGGCACTGCCTGCCTCACCTGGGCGCTGACTCACCTGGGCACAGCCCTCACTGCCGGGCACAACTTCCCTCTGAGGAGCTTTTGCAAGGACCAAGCAGCTCTTCGGGGTGGAGGTGCTGTGTAAAAATCAGCGTTTGGATTTCTTTGCGGAGATGCTGCTGGAGGCGATGCTGCCCGTGGGTGCCTCAGCCATGGGGTCACTGCTGAGGGCAGCAGGTGTTTTTCTGCTTACCCAGCACTCTGCTAAGCCGGCGGGCCAGCAGGAATGGGAGCGAAGCCTTCCTGTGCAGAACACGGCCAATGGTTTCCATGAGATGTGCTTGCCATTGCGAACACACTCATTCTAGAGAGATTAAAAGTGCTTTTAATGGCTTTCCCCGCTATTGAGAGCACCTTAAACTGCACCAGAAGAGGTTTAGGTTGAACATTAGGAAGAAATTCTTCACAGAAAGTGTGATTACTCATTGGAATTGGCCAAGGGACGTGGTGAATCGCCGTCCATGGGGTATTGAAGGAAAGACTGGACACCCAGACACCCCGAAATCCCACCCCAGACATCACAAAATCCCACTAAGACACCTCGAAATCCCGCCCCAGACACCCCGAAATCCCACTCAGACACCCCGAAATTTCTAGCAGCGATGAGGATTTTTTGTTCCATGCAAGTAAAAATTGAGAG